CATGTCTCACTTTTTGAGCTAAAATACCAAATTGTCTTTCAATTTCAACGTTTCTGACCGTTTTTTATTTGTTATTTTTTTCTTATTTAACTGGATTATGTTGTTTATCTCACAGTTCTGTGGAAATTGAGTTTGGGCAAGTTTATGAACCCTTATAGAGTTTTGTTATTACTCTGTAATGAAATCAACAAGTCTTCTTTACTTAAACTCTTTTTTTCTTCACACAAAAACACTTGGGAAAATATACATTAGCACTTTATTGCCCTTTGATAGAGTTTTCTGCTCTGATTGTATCTTGTAAAACTGTAGTTTGTGTTTTGAAAATTACGTGGCCAATCATCATAGAGCTAATATCAATGTTTCAAATACCTCTCATTGAAGTATAACGTATTGTATGTCAATTATTTTTCTTGTGCTGAAATGTTCTCAGTGAAACTGACTGTATTCCTCAAGCCTCGTATGAACTTTGGTGTGTGAGCTGTGTTTTCACACACATCTCGCCATCTCATCTTATTGTTTCATTGTGCCGCAGGCATTTTGTACATATCAGTGTAAATGTTGCATAAAATGTTTTCTATTCTCTTGTGTTCATCAGTGAATTTGTTTATAAGACAATAAATCTGTATTCACATTTTTTTTTCATTCTTTCTTTCTTTATTTTTTTGGATTTTGACTCAAAGATGACACATTTTCTTACATTTATTTACAAGTTTTTATATGAAATATATACGTATACAAATTTTCATTTAAAAAAATGCATCCGGAATGTTAGAAATATAAAACTTTTTTTTTCAGGACGTAAGAGTTCACTTTTGAGATTTCTTGGCCCCACCTTTAGCCCCTCCTTTGCCTCCTTTTTCCCCTTTCTCTCCTTTGTCACCCTTCCCTTTCCCATCACCAGCATCTTTCTTGGATCCTCCCTTTTCGTCTTTTTCACCCTTTTTCTTAGTTGACGCGTCCTTATCGTTTCCTTTCCCTTCTTTGGCACCCTTGGTCTCTTTCTTGCCTTCTTTGCTCTTTTTTTCTCCCTTTTCTGCGTCCACCTTCCCAGACACGGTTGATACTTCTGCTGTTTCTTCTGGTTTCGCAGCTGCAGTAAAACAAAAGCAAAACAACAAAGCTCAACACTATTTAGGTGCCATCAGACTCACAGTTATAGTGTTTGGTGGATACGATGAGAAGAGATGTAGATTGACTTTTTGTGTATTTTTATTAATGACTTACATCCAATCAACCAGTTTCACTAAAGTTTTTAAACCCCATTTTAAGGACTAATAAAACAGATGACTTTAAATGCAATACTGATAACAGTATTGTTTTGTTGTGTATGTTTGACAGGTTTGTCTAAAGAATGAAACTTTGTGCAGCGATAAAAAACTGTTTTATCAACTTAGTCAGGTCACAGAATAGAATGTACCTGATTGGTTCAACAGGCAGGAAACTTACCGGTATTTCATGTAGCTTCAAAAATTACACAAAAGGCTCAAAAATAAAAGTCAAGTACTATTACATACTAATAATTTTAACTGTTTGATGACGCTGAGACTGCCTCACTAATCAGCCACTTCCATTTATGCACCAGAAGTATGTGCAC